AAAAATCCATTTTGAAAACTACTTAGAGCTTATTACAAAATACTGTATTTCAAACATTTCAGCATGGAAGCAAAGTTAGAAAAACTGTACAGTGCTTTATTGGCCCCTGCTGCTTGTGCTAAGCTGTAGTTCAAGAAAAAACTTTTTTTCCTCCCTTTTGAGAAGATGAAGTGAGACACAGTGTATAAAGAGTGGAGTAATAGAAGTACATTAGGAACTTCTAGGAACTTATTAACAAGAAAGAAAACATTTTAAAAATGACAAAACAGGATACACAAAAGAGAATAAATCTAACTAAAAGGGTTATCTACAAAAAATCTGCTCCAGTTCCCCCCCCCCCCCATTGCAAGGATATTTCCTTTAAGGTGGGATGATGACCACCATCTTTCAGTTACTTCCAAAAATCAATCAAAATGCAGACGCAAGGACAAGAATCCTGGGTTAGGCAATAGTTGGACACCAGTACTGACTGCGCCCATAACTAGTTCTGACTTTGGACAAGTCATTTTACCTTTCTGTCTGTGTCTCTGGGCTTCCCAGGTGGCTCAATGGTTAAAGACTCTGCCTGCCAATGCAGGAGATGCACGTTCAATTCCTCTATCTCCTGCACTTACAATATCTCTAAGTCTTCCATTGTGGCTCACACTGTAACAAATCTGCCTGCAATGTGGGAGACCTGGGTTTGATCTGTGGGTCAGGAAGATCCCCTGGAGAAGGAAATGGCAACCCACTCCAGTACTCTTGCCTGGAAAACCGCATGGACAGAGGAGCCTGGGGGGCTACAGTCCCTGGGGTCACACGACTGAGTGAGCATGCATGCACGTGTCTTCATCTGTAAAACCTTACCTCATGCCTTACAAAAAACTCAACTCAAAATACATCAGGGGACTAAATTTAAGGGCTAAAACTATAATATTTAAAAGAAAACATAGGAAAAAATGTTTGTGATGTTGGGCCAGTTAAGATTTCTTAGATACAAGACCCAAAGCACAATCAATAAAAGCAAAAATCAATAATCTCTACCAAAATTCAAAACTTTCATGCTTTAGCAGACAGCATTAAGAAAATGATAAAATTGAGGGGGGGGAGGGAATGCTGTAATAAGGGAATTCCCTGGTGATCCAGTGGTTAGCACTTGGCTCTTTCACTGCCATGGGCCACTTTCGATCTCTGGTCAGAGAACTAAGATCCAGCAAGTCCTGACTCCCTGCTGTCCCACTTTGCCAAAGAAATGAAAAGACAAGAGTAAATATCTGAAATCGCGTATCAGGTGAAGGACTCATATTCAGAATGAATAGACACCTAACACTCACACTAGCCTCTATAATTTAGTGAGAAGAGAACAACCCAGTGGACAACCCAAGCGGGAAAAAGATTGGAATACACATTGCACCAAAGAAGAGATATGAAAAGCTAATAAATAAGCACATGAAAGGATGCTCTCCATCATTAGTCATTAAGGAAATGCAAAACAAAAATCACAATCAGATATACTTCCCATCCATTGGGATGGCTTTAATCAAAAAGACAGACAACAAATTCTGGCAAAGATGCAGAGAAACAGGAACCCTCATTCATGGCCGAAGAGAATGTAAAATGGCACAGTTACTTTGAAAAATTTGTTCCTTAAAAAGTCAAACATATAATAAATCTACCATGTGACCCAGCAATTCCACTCAATAAAAATGTAACATGTTCACCTGAAGATTTGATGCAAAATGCTCACAGCAATATTATTCAAAATAGGCAAAAGGCGGGAGCAATCCAGTGACCATCAAGTGGTATCCAATAAAAAGGAATAATGTACTAATACAGGCAGCAATATGGATGAACCTCAAAAAACATTACTCCAAGTAAAAGAAACAAAACACAAAAGATCACGTATTATATGATCATATTTATGGGAAAATGTCCAGGAAAGACAAATCTATAGAGACAGAAAGTAGATTTGTGGTTGCCTTCGGCAGGGGGTGGGAACAGGGAGTGACTGCAAATGGACATGAGACATCTTTTTGGAATGATGGAAATGTTCTAAAATTGGATTGTGGTGATGACTGAACAACTCTGTAAATTTACTAAAAAAAAAAAAAAACCCAAAAAACTATAGTACTGTACAGTTAAAACAGGTGGATTTTATGGTATATAAATTTTTAAAAATGAAAAAATTTTATTCTATGTGAATGAAGCAAAACACAAAACACTATATATTACACAATCCCATTTACATGACATGTCCAGAAAAGGCAAATCTATGAGTTGGAAACGTTTGCGAATGCCTGAAACTGGAGGTAGGAACAGGGATTAATTGTAAACAGGCACAAGGGATCTCACTGGGGTGATGAAAATATTCTAAAACTGGATTATACTGATTGGTGCACCACAATAAATTTACTAAAATCATTTAATTTTACACTTTAAAATGGGTTAATTTTATACTAAAAATAATGGGTGAAATTATATCTCAGAGTAAAGTTGTTTTTAAAAGTAAGGTGGTCAAATCACATGAGAGTTCTTAACTTCTGGAGTGAGAAGATGACTAACCCTATCCCAGAGGGCTGGCCTCCCTTTTGCTCACTCACAGACACCCCATTGGTCTGAGAATAGCAAATCAACAAGTTTCTAAAGCTCTAGAGCCTTGTGCCACCTTAATACCAAAAGCATTAACAACCACAATGCTACTCTCCACCCTAGAAAGATGTACACCTTACCAGAAAGGTAAAGCAAAATTCCTCTTCTCAAATGATGAGACCCCTTTTCCTTGCTTTTTTAGACATCATTTTGGAGTCTCCCACTTAATCCCTTTTTTCAATATGAAATTCTGATGGAGGTACTCAGAAGCAATTTTAGAATGAACCAGTACAGATCAAAGATGCAGCACATGGTAAGGACCAGATCCATGAAGCAACTTAAGGAAAAAGACTGGATGTCTTCACATAAATCTTACCCCAGATTTGTTTTGATACAAGAAGCAAGTGAGGAAAAAAAAAAAAGAAATGTGACAAAGTTTCTCTAAACACTGACAAAATGCAATAAACAGTCACTCCCCCCAACTCCCAAACAGCTAAGGAGTTTTCAGCCACTCTTTGTTATAAAACTAATTTAGGACAGGATGCTGATCTAGCAAAGCAGACAATCGTCCTCCAATACACAGGGGTCTGCTGATGTCCGTTGGATCAAGCTTCTGTTTAGCTAAACCCACTCCCTTCTGATTTCTAAGATCACTAGATTATTGTTGTCCAACAAATACTCCCCTTATCCCCAGTCCCCACCCTCCCCCAATCACTGTGCCTCTGAGAATTACAATTCATGTTTGTGCAAGCTTTGATCTCTGCCAGCTGGTATTCCCAGACCCCCTTCAAATCCATTCCACACACAACAGCCAGACCCATAGGATCGTATCATGTCTCTGCTTGAAACCCTCCAATAACACTTAAAATTTCCTAGGCTGAGAAGGTCCCTAAAATCTGGCTCCTCTATTACCTTTCTAACCTTACCAGTCTTCTTTCGGGTCCTAAAACACATCAAGCTTTTCCCCTTCTCTGGGGCCTTTGCATTTCCTCATCTCTCAGTAAGGAATAATCTTCCCTTTGCCCTCAAGACTCTTTCTCATCCTTCAGCGCTCAACTTACATGTCGACACCTCAGAAAAAGCATCTTCCTTGAAATGGCCCCAATTAGGTCTCCACGTTATTCTCTCTCAGAACATCTTGCTTGTTTCCTGACTAGCACCTGTAATTCTTTTTATTTGCTTACTTATTTAATGTCTACCTCCCTGGCTGGGAAGTCAATTCCAAGCAGTCGTAAGTTGGTCTATGTCGCTCAGTGCCGTACCTGCAGCTTCATCTGGAGAGGCTCCCCAGTTCCGCCCGAGCAATGCCTGGCACTTCCCGGGGGGTTCTCACGCGGATGCAGAACTGAACAGAAGCACCTTAACCTATCACCCCATAAATAGATGACCGAGCCCCAACTGCAATACCCCATTCCTCGCAACGCCTTGTAAAGGCCTGTCCCACATATTCACTTTTCTTTTTTCTCTCAGACACATCTGTGGCTCAGGTTCAAACATCTGTCGCCACACAAATCTCTGACGAGCCTCTCAGACCCCACCCCACCTCGCCGCACCGGCGCGCCTCTCAAAATCCTCTCCACGCCTTGCAGGAGCTGCACAAACCCCGAGCCTCACCCACGCGCCCTACCAACCCCCGAGCCACTCTAGCGCCCACGAATATCTGGGAGACCCAAGCTCCCCGAGCTCCCGCGGGACCCCACGTTCCGGCGTGTCACCCGCCGCCCAGCGCGGCGCCTCCCCCTTCCGCGGCGCCAGCTCTCACCTATCACCTCCTGCAGCTCGTAATCGTCCCTGTTGATGGACCAGGGCAGGGCACTGGAGTCCTCGGTCATGACGGCGGCACGACACTCGGTCTTCCCGCAAACTCACTGACCTCTCTCTTCTCCTCGCCGCGCCTCTCCCCACCCCCAACCGCTGCCGCCGCGCCCCCACCAACCGCCTCGCGAACAGCCACGGGTCGGACGGCGCCTGGCGCTGGGTGGCCGCGCGGCAGAGCGGTGGGGGGCTCGAAGCACCCGCGAACCTCGCCTCTTTGCTCCTCCGCGGCCGGCACTCCCCTCCCCGGCCCAGGTCCCGGCTTCGGCCTCCACGGCAGCAGCGACAAGAGCTTCGCCTGGGCCCAGCCCCTCTGTCCCGCCCTCCACCTCAGCCCCACGCACTGGCCAAACTTTCCCTTCTCCCTCCACCTGCCGACACGCAGCGCGCTGACGTCACCGCGTCGGGCATGCCCCCCACCTCGGCCCCGCCTCCAGCTGCCATTTCAAGTGTGGCTGGATAAGCAGCGAGCAAGAAGGAAGCCCAAGGAAGACGAATTTGATAGTGGAAGAGAAGAAATACTTTGAAAGGAGTTTAGCAAGGGCATCGGAAAGCCATAAAAGAGCTGAAAGTAGCAGCGGTAGTAGCCACACTAAACATGGCGACCAAAGGGCAACCTAGTGGAGGGGGCGGAGCCACTTCTGGCGGCGAGGGCACGTTGCCGTCTCCGTCGTCGCATTCATTGGCTTATTTGAGAAGGAATCAGAACGGCAGTAAGTGGATGTGGACGTCAGTCATAAATTAGTTCCGCCTCCACGCGCTCGGCGCGCTCTTCCGCGACAAGGCTCCGGTCCCGCAAGATCACGGGTACGCTACTCGCTTTGCAGCGTTCTCCCAAGTGACGTCGCCACGTAACCGTCACACCCCCGAGACGTGCGAACGGCTCCGCAGGGTGTGGAGAAACCCGAGGGAGCAGCTGGGTGGGGTAGCCTTGCGGTGTGGACGACTGCCAACTGGAATAAAAGGTCTCGGTCCACGGGACAGAGTGGAACCGGAAGCTCGCCTCTGTGACGACACTTTTTTCTAGGCGGAAGTTATTTCTACAGCGCCAGGCTCGGCCTTCCCTGTAACTTTACTGGATAGGGAAGGTGTTCTCTCCGTTCTCGGCTTTGGAGCTCAGATGATCACCTGTCTTGGGGCCTTAGAAGGTTGCCGTTTTTTCCCTGAGGCAACTGGGACCATTAAGCTAGTGCTATTTGGTTCAGCAGATTCGAGGTCATGTCAAAGACCTTGGCTTTTGTGTGACGTCATTGAACTTCAATTTTTCTCAGGTTGTCCACTTAGTTCCTTTGGGGAGGTCAATAAGATGAAACTGAAAGCCTTTGGTAAAATGGAGTGAGGAGTAGCCACGTGGATTGAGCTAGGTTTGAAAGTCTTCTCAGTTGGATGTCTTTCAGATCAATAGTAGTCATTATGAAAGACATCTTCACCCAAGCCCTTCCAGGCACCTGAAGCCCTGTGCAGGAAATCCAGCGACCACGAAGCCAAAGCAGTCAGCTAGGAGCTGCGGCCACCAAGTTAGCACGTTTCCACATTCTTGGTGGGATTAGAGAATGTTTCAGGAGGGGATCCTGAAAAGCTAATATGGTATAAAACAGGTGTAAATTGAGAGGCTAGAATATCCCAGTCACAGAGAAGTGCCAGAGTTTCCCAAGTTTGAAAGCATAGCACAGGCGTTACTGTAAAGATTGGTTTCAACCGTTGACTACTGACACCTTTATTGCCGTGTGTTGCCTTTTTGCAGAGAGAAGGATGGGGATCAGATCTATCAGGAGCTAAATATGATGATAAAGATTAGAGGTCTCAAGATTTGTACAATAGATCCATAAACCAGAGATTCTTAACTTGAGTTTATTGGCCTTGTGGACCATGAACAGCCTTCAGAAGATTTGTGGGGGTTTTGTGTTTTTTGCACGCCTTTAAATTGTATGCAGAATAATAGATACTTAAGGGAGAAATTTGACCACCTTTTCCCCTTCTCTTTTTCCCCAGTGAAAAGGAGCTACTGACTTAAAAGTGAAAATCCAAGATGTTTATTGACCCACATTCTTGGTGATCAGGGTACTATACATTGGTTGATGGGTTGTTTTCTACTTCTTCCAAAGTAGAAAGCTTGATGGTTTAGTTGAGCCAGAACCTGCTCTGCAGATCTGGTCATTTTATTTCCTCTTATCTCCTGGGCTTTCTCCATGTGGCCTGTTAGTTGTTAAGATCTCATATTTTTAATGAGCAAGGAATTGGTGGCTGTTTGAGGCCAGAATCTCAGCGTATGAAGTATGTTCCATGTGAGAACACTTAACATAAACACTGGGTGTATAGTGGTAAACAAGGTGACTTAGTTCCCGTTGTCACGGAGTATAGTCTAGGAGACAAAAGGCAGTGTGTGCTATGTGCTCAGTCACTCTGGCTTGTCTGACTCTTTGTGACCCAGTGGGCTGTAGCCCACCAGGCTCCTCTGTTCATGGGATTTCCCTGGCAAGAATACTGAAGTGGGTTGCCATTTCCTCCTCCAGGGGGTCTTTCCCACCCAGGGATTGAACCCACATCTCCTGCATTGGCAGGCGGATTCTTTACCATGAGCACCAGGAAAGCCCTGTAGATGGCATCAAGTACAGTGTGTAGAATCAGAAGATGAGAGTCACTGTCTGGGCTGAGAAGCTGGGAGGGAAATTATGTTCATACTTCCTCTTCTTTCTCTGTTGCCTTTAAGCTGTTTACCTGCATCGTCCTTTGCTTTTAGCACCTGCAGGGTAGAGGGAAAAGGACCAGTTTCAAGACTAGTGATGCCTTGAAGTGGTAATTACAGCTTTAATAGTTCAAGTTTTATAGACTTCTTAAATGAAAGAGAGTTGAAATCTATAAATGAATGTGTACCATATGTGAAAAACCTGAATGTAAAGAAAAGCACAAATTTAGGTCTCCTAAGTTGATTTTCTTAGCAGTTCCATATCAGTGCCAGGACCAACTATAAACTCCTGGAATCTTTCTCCCCCCTTCCCCCCCTCTCTCCATTATCACACCTCACATGTAGTATAAAGTCATCTCTTGTAAGAGGGCATTTCATCCATTCCTGGCATAGATGTGCTTCCCACCTCTGCACCTGGAATAGTCCCTGCACAGACACATATTCGGGCATGGTGTTGATTAAATCAATGGAGTTCACGAGTAGAGAAGATATGCACAAGCTAGAAGTCTGGAGCCTGGGGAGAATCTGACATCTTGGCAAATCCAGGAAAGGGACCAAGGGCATACACATTGGACTATGGTGACAGAGTCTCAGAGTCTCAGAACCTGGAAAAAAATAGGTAAGAAAGTAGAGTCTCAACATCAAACTGAATTCTGAGCCAGAGAGTAACTTCACGTTTACCCAGGCTGGCACCATGACAACTTGATGAACTCAAGCTGAATTCAGCAAAAGATGGGAAGTACTTGACTGAGCTGGAGCAGGTTCCTAGGTACCTACTACTTTTGTAACACGATCTCTTAAGGGTGGAATGTGTCTAGAAGCCTTCATTAGAATGTTTATTGTAGTGTTATTGTAATAGGAAGAAACTGGAAAAAAACTTGAATGAAGATATCTGTTGATAGAGGAATGATAATTGCTTGTGTATATTATGTGAAGGGCTTCCCAGGTGGCACAGTGGTAAAGAATCCACTTGCCAATGCAGGAGATGCCAGAAACATGGGTTCAATCCTTGGGTTGGGAAGATCCCCTGGAGTAGGAAATGGCAACCTGCTCTAATAATTCTTGCCTGGGAAATTCCATGGACAGAGGAGCCTGGTGGGCTGCAGTCCACGGGGTCACAAAGAGTCAGACAACGTAGTGACTGAGCACATATTATGTGGAACATCTCAGGATAAACAAGAAGCTCATGTGTTAATGCTAGCTGAAGTAACGACCCCGAACTAAACTAAACTGGCTGGTTTAACCCAATAGCTTATTTCTGACACACATATAGTCCAGGACATATGTCCTTGGTCCCTTTGGTCCAAGTTGACAGTTTGCCTCCTTCAGTCTTGTGGCACCACCGTCTTGTCTTCCTCCAGACCCTCTGCATTCAGCCAGCTGGTTATCTGAGAGGGAGAACACTGCAGAAGCTTGCCAAATCTGGAAGTTGTGTTTGTTGCTTCTTCCCAGGTTGTGTTGGTCAAACCGGTTGACTGACCACAACTGAAATCCAGGAAACCGGGACATGGCCTCGCCTGTGCCCAGGAAGAAGCAATGGGATTAGTCGGCATCTAGCCAGTCTCTGCTACAACTGGCAGCTTTGGTTGCTGCCAGACCAGAGCTGCTGACACGTAGAAGGGATGTTCTCTTCTGCACATTTTGAATTTTGTAAATCCAAATATTATTTGTTCAAAAGAAGTTAAGGGAGGACTGGTTCATCCATCCTGTGAAATATTACATAGCAGTTAGAATGCAGTAGGTCTATACATATTGGAATGGAATGATCTATAATCAAGGTAAACAAGTAGATAAATTTCTGCATTGACTTAGTTTGGGCGAGGATAACAAATTACCACAGAATGGGTGGCTTAAATAAAATTCTTTTCTCACAGTTCTGGGGTCTGGGAAATCAAAGATGAGGCTGCAGGCAGATCTGATGTCTAGTGAAGCCCTGCTTCCTGGTTTGTAGACAGCCATCTCCTCATTATATTGCATGCGGCAGAGGCAAGACAACCTCTCGTCTCCACTTAGGAGGGCACTGAACTCATTCATGAGCATTCCACCTTCCTGACCTAGTTACCTCCCCAAAGCTCCACCTCCTAATATTACCACATTGAGGGTTAGGATTTCAACATATGAATTTGGGGCAGACACAAACATTCAGTCTGTAATTTACATGTATATAAATATATGGAATAAGGTCTGGGAGATGCATGTAAGTTATAGACTGAATGTTTGTGTCACCCCAAATTCAAATTTGGCTTTAAAATTTTACCTGTCTGGTGAAAGTGAAACAATATCTCAGTTTTAATTTGCATTTTCTTAATTATTAACAAAGCTGGGCATTATGTTCATGGGTCTCCAGAATACTTTCGTGAAACGGACCTTAATGAATTGCTTTAGAGAATTACATTGCTAGTGTTACACAATATTATGTTGTTTTCTCCTTGCAGTTCAAACAATATACACAAAGCAGTACATATTTGATGATAGAAACAAACTAACAAAAGTGTACATACAAGAGTGATTGCACTCACAAAGAGGTCAAAAGTAGGCACAATTGAGTACAAAACACTTCAGTTTCAACGAAACAAAACAATTCAGTTTGGTGACTAGGGAAAACGAAAGGGATGCAGCTAGGATGGGGTACCCAAGACTTCCAGGATTCGTTTAGTGTGCTGTTTCTTAACTTGGTGATGAGGACAACAGTGCTCATCAACTATCCCGAGATGTCTGTGTGTCCTTTTAAAGTATATTTCATAATTGCAAAGTTTGGTTTCTCATGGCTCAGATAATAATAATATACATGGTACTTGACGATCTGCGTACCCCTTCTTTTGAGCTGAAGGGGATGTCTGACACTCTTCTCAGCCTGGTTTCACTGTACCTCCCTTTGTTCAGGCCCTTCCTCCCTCCAGGAATGCCACCTGTGTTCTGCTCCACCCATCCAGGTCTTACTGGTCTGCCAGGTTCAGCTGATGGTCAGCCCTCCCTTCCCCCCTACTCAGATCGCTTTTTCTGAGATTTGTTCCAGGCCTGAGGGAAGTCATATGCATTTATTACCTCACCCAGACCATTTCTGGGCACTTAGCCTGTACTGCCAGGTAACCATAGATTTCTCTTTTTCTGAATATTCTGTATTTCAAATTGGGTGGTAGATCACCCATGAGGAGTGTGGGATACCCTATCTCACCAATAGAAGTAAAGGATTTGTGTGGAGTTTTGACCTTGGTAGTGACGGTGGATTGCCCACCTTAAGCCTTGCCAGCATGATGACAGTCTAGAAATGTATAAAGAGCTGCGTTTCTTGCCTTTTTAGGAAAATTTTCAAAAATATATGTACCATTCAATACTCCACCTTAGGCAGGAGTTTCAGAATCTCTGAGTCACAGCTGTAGTCACAACATTGAAAAATATAAGTATCTCTCACTAAGCTCAGGAACTGAATAATCAGATTTATCTTCTGATAATTTGGTGTCCCGTGCTCTCTGAACTTAGGGTAGGTTTGGACAGCATGGTTCATCAAATTAATATAAATTCAGATAAGCCTAAGAAAATATTCATCACAACAGTTAAACTGCCTGTAATGTGCCAGGTAGTGTGCTAAAGGGTTATAAATGTATACTTCATGTAGTCAGTAAAATAGCTTTGTGAGGTGTCTATGCCAATTTTACAAATGAGGAAACGAACTGAGAAAGGCTAAGAGGCTTGCCTCCAGATATTCCTGGAAATGCTTAGCACAGAACCTGGCTTGTAAATGCTCAGTAAGTGATAGCTGTTGCTCCTCAGTTTGGGGGACTAGAGTGACAAAGCTTTATGGAACGTGGATTTGAGCAACAGTTCCAGCAGGTCTGCTTGCTCAGGAAAAACAGGTTTCAGTCACCATCATGCGGTGTCATTCATATCATAGCATGACCTGATTTTTTTTTTAATCTTTTAAAAAATTTTTTTAATCTTTAAAAAATATATATTTTGTTCGTTTATTTTTGGCTGTGCGGGGTCTTCGCTGCTGTGTGGACTTTCTCTAGTTGTGGTGATCCGGGGCTCCTCTCCAGTTGAAGTGCATGGGCTTCGCATGGCAGTGGCTTTTCTTGTTGAGGATCACAGGCTCTAGGGCTCGCAGACTCAGTAGTTGCAGCTCCCAGGCTCAGGAGCACAGGCTCAAGAGTTGTGGCACACAGGCTTAGTTACCCCATGGCATGTAGGATCTTCCCACATCAAGGATTGAACCCGTGTCCCCTGCATTAACAGTTGGATTCTTTGCCACTGAACCACCAGGGAAGCCCCAGTACTACCTAATTCCTTGTTGCAATGTCTGGGGAAGGAAATAAAGGCTTTCTCTGATTCTTGGTGGATTGTGAAGCCTTGTTTGCCTGTAACATCCAACCTGAATGAGAGAATTTGGGGTTCAGGCATACCAAAAGTGGAGTTCTGCATGACTGAACGTTGAGTTGGAAATTTCAGGACATCAAGAAATGGGGACAAAAGCACCGTATCAGGTGTAGTGCGCATACATTTATGGGCAGTTCTCCACGTGCTCAGCTGTGAGCAATCGGCCAGAAAATGGGACTGTCCTCCGTCATCCAGGGGGGCCTGGGCTCCAGGCCTGATGTTAGTTCCCTGGTGAATGGTGGCAGAGGGTGACAGAGGACGGGCTCTGTCCCTTTGGGCAGAATC